TTCTGTATATTTTGTATACTGATTAATTGATGTTTTAGCTTTTGATACACTACCCATTTAAGTGCCTACTAATCACTTACTTTAAAAAAGAAAAACATGCCCTGGCCAGTTTGGCTCAGCAGTTAGAGCATCGGCCCTTGGACCAAAGAGTCGCAGGTTCAATTCCGGTCAAGGGCACGTACCTCTGTTGCGGTTCGGTCTCCAACCCTGGTTGGGGTAGTGAGGGAGGCAACCAATTGATGTGTCTCTTTCACATCATGTTTCTCTCTTTTTCTTTCTCCCGCCCTCCCACTCTATCTGAAGATGAATGGAAACATATCCTTGGGTGGGGATTTAAAAACTAATAATAAAATAAGACAAAAGAAATAAAATATATTTGCTCAAAGAACATGAATCTAGCCAGCCATGATTAAACCCTCGATGAATCTGCTTCTAAGAATCCATTTGGTATTTAAATATATAGTAACTAGTCTATTAAATGTAATTCTCTCTATTAATGACAGTTATTCTAAATTTAATGACAGTTATTTGAAATATATACCCACAGATTATTAAAGATTTTAACAAGATTTTTTAAACCAAGAAAGTGAGTATGAATCCATCAAATGTTAATAAACCAATTACTATTCAATATAGAATGCCTGAATTGTTCAATCAAAACATACCCAAGTGAGAATGCTTTGAAAACATTTCAATAGAAAGCAATTTGCTGAGGAGGGGAAAGGGACTCCATCTGTGAACTGGTATTACTATTTCAGCATTAAATTAAGGATATATAACTTTAAATATATTTATTTTGTATGAAAATATGCATCATGCAAAGTGCATTAAACTTTCCTGATTGGAACTTGACTTTAACCAGAATACCACTTTAACGTTCTAAGTCAAGTGGTTTTAATATTTCTGTGGCCAATTAAATATGTGCTAAAAATATTACACACTGTTTTATTCTGGGGATTCACAACCAGGTTTTTACAAAACATTCCTTTACAGTGAACATAAGAAAAACCTTTTCCGAGTTTTGGTGCCCACCAAGTCACCATCTCTCAAACAAAGCAAAGTCCTTGTTCTAAGCAACCTGTTTCTGCCTGCAGGCACGGTGGGCTTCCTTCAGGTGGGCTCCGGCTGCCATGACTTTCTGGGAAGTGTGTATGGCCCACGCCACTCGTGCATGGTCTTGCCCTTCCAGCTACCCTCCACGTCCTGGGCACTTATTGGGATCAGAAGTATAGACTGGCAAGTTTGTGTGACTTAAGAATCCCAACCTATAAAGCACATCAGTAGACACTTTGTAGCATGTGCTGTTTATTAGGGTTTCCATTAAAAGTATTATGTTTCCATACTTTACAACCATAAAAGAGTAAATAATTTCAAAGGATTGCTTGATAGGAGACTTCTATTTTAAATGGAACTTGAAAATATCTGGGAAATCACTGGAATAAAAGTACTCATAGACCTGATGCTGTGAAGTTCTTGTTAACTGTTTTCTTAAGCACATAAAAAGATATACCATTTCCTCCAACATTTTTTGAAATAGGTTTAGGTTTGGGGTTTTTCTCTGTACATATGACTTATAAATATTTCTTACAATGCTCCCATTGTTTTCATTCTTTCTTCCTTCCTTTCTTTCTTTCTGAGCTGAAGCTGACTTCTTAACGCCAGCAGACCCCGTCCCCTCCGCTGCTCTGACATCGCGGGGGGAGTCAGAACGTAACACCAGAAAGTGCCACTCAAGAAACCTGCCGCACTGCTTGGTCAGTGGGACTTAACAATCCCAACCTATATGAATTCCCAACCAGTGGGAAAATGTATACTAAACACCCTATTGAGATCTTTCCTTTTTTAGAGGAAATAAATTCCACCCATGTAACTAAGCAAATATTGCATCAGTCTGGGCTGTATGTGAAGCCAAAGCAGCATTTACTGCATGAGAATATCAGATAAGGTCAGTGTGAGAATAAAACTATTTTTTAAAAAATATTGCTAACATCAAAGGTATGCAGAAAAGTTAAGTAATCTATAAAATATTAACATGCTATAATCCAGTTGGAAACATCCAGATTGGCTGTCTCTACAAATCTGTTTTCAAGGAAATTACATGCACTTTTGCTCGATTCTGTCTGTGTAGACACGGCATTAGAATACTTTCTTTGTATCAGGGTCATTATTGAAAGGATGAAGCGAGTCGTTTCTGAGAACCAGCAGCATCAGAGACAAGCGGTGCATAGATAATAGGTAGGATGAAAACCATTTGATTGACAACAGCAACTACCAGACTTGCATGCCAGGCTCCATGCTGAATTTTGGACCCATATCACACCATTAAATTCTTACAACTCCTCCTTGTCTTTGCTTTATAAATGAGGACAATGAGGCTCAGAAGGGCTAAGTAACTTGCCCAAGTTCACAGTTAGCAGTACAGCTGGGATTTTGAACCACGTCTGCCTGAGTCCACAGCTTATGCCCTTAACTACCATGCCCAAAGCTTCTCCTGCATCAGAGCTGAGTAGGGCTGGAGGGCAAATCCCAGAGCCAACCTAGAGAAAAGCTTCATTCTCAGGAGGTGAGGATGCAGTAGAGTCATCCAACGGCTTGTCGCAGGGCCAAGGCCTCGTCTTGGCACAGCTGGTCTGGTGGGCAGAGAAGAATACATGCTTCTTGGGTTGGGGCGCAAAACTTCACGACTGCCTTCGATCAGGTAGAAGATGAGTAAGAGCATATGCCTCCTTCTGGTACTGAGCCAGCGTGACGTGTCTGGGTGGTGGGAAGCTGTAGACTCATCTGGCTGGGGTAGGTGAGAAAAGAGAAATGAAGGCAGGGAATGGCATCCCAAGGCATGTCTTCGAGTGACCGAGGCCTTGCCCTTCATCAAAGTCATACAGCCTCACCAAAGGAGGACACTCTGGGTGAGGCTGGGAAAGAGAGCAGAAGGGGGATCCGGGGCCATTAATCACCTCCTGCCAGGAGGGCTGCAGTTCAGAACCAAAGGCAACAGGGCCCGCTTCCCCAAAGCACTCAATCTCCTGAAAGAAACAGCTTAAATAGAGTCATATTTGCCAATGAAGGTTTCGAAATGTTTAAACTAGCCAGTAACACCACCCAGATGGAGAAACGAATGCAGGCAGAAGTTAATGATTTGTACTGTAGTCACTCAGTGAGTTGGAGATAGAGCAGATGTGAACCCCAATCTCTTGACTCCCAGATCTGCACATAAACCATCAAAAATACAAACCTTCAAGCCCTGAAATCTGCCAAGCCCTTTGTCTACTGTGTGGTCCCCTGTCAACCTTCAACATGGCACTACACAGAAGGGATTTCTTTCCCCTTACACAGTCTGTAAGTCTTGGTGAGCTACATAACCGGGTCTCCGGGTTTTTTCTTTTATCCTTTCATTCATCTGACAAATATTTATTGAGTGCTTCCTATGAGTCAGGCCCTGTTCTAGATGCTGGGGATACAGTGGCGAACAAGACAAAGACCTTGTTCTCTGGGAGAGCAGACTGTAGGAGGGGCGGGCAGACAGTGAACAACAAACAAGTAAGAAATGCGGAGAGTGAAGGTGTCATCCCGAAAACCAAGCAGCATGGCAGTGTGGGGAGGACAGCAGGGAATACCACAGACAGACGGATCGAGGAAGGCCTCTTGCAGGAGGGGACATATGAGCCAAAACCTGGACGCCAAGAAAAGCCAGCCCTGGGAAGGCTGCAGGAAGTCAGATTTCTCAACCGAAACACGCCCCCCTGGACCTTCCCATTTATGCTCTCTTTAACCTGTGTGTCCTTCTACCCAAGACAACTTGCTTCACTGCAAGGGTGTGATCGTGTCATCCCACCAGGAATGAAGCAAAATATTCCACGATGCATTTGAAAGTGTCATGAGTGAGCGCTGGCATTTGGGCTATTGTTAATATTAATTTTTTATTGATAGGAAATTCCTTACACATTTCACGACAGGTTAAGACACAGCAGTGTCTTGTATCGGAGAGGTCGGTTGGTGTACAAAGGAACGGAGAGGCATGACAAATGTTACATCCAGATTATGCTCAAATTCACCTGCACAGCAGATCCTCCACACTGTGGCTCGCCGCTGTCACCATCTCTTCCTGTTTTATTGTAGCAGCTCCTGACTGGTCTCCCGGCTTCTCCTCAGCGATGTAGTGTGTAGATGATGTTCTATTGAGTTGCGTACTTGAAACCTGTATGATTTTGCAAACCAGTGTCACTCCAATAAATTCAATAATAAATAAATCAATGAATAAAGTAAGTCTGATCACATCTCTCCACTGCTCACCTCACTCTGACTTACAACCGCCTGCTGTTGTGGATTATTATGGAATAAATTGTGTTCTGCACGCATGTATTTAAGCCCTAACCCTCACTGTACCTGTATTTGGAGTTGGGGCCTTTAAGGAGGTACTTAAGGTTAAAAGAGGTTGTTAGAGTGGGGTCCTAATCCTTGTTCAAAAACTTAACTTTTTAAGTAACTATTTTTTGACATTTTAACTTTTAATTTAGTTTTTTGCTTTTTTCCCAGCTCTATTGAGTAAACTATTTTTTAATGCAATGAAGAAGATTTCTGAGTTTAAAGAAAAGATTAAGAATAAGCTTGTATAAAACAAGCACTCTATCTGCAAGTAATCACCTGTTAATTAATCGTGAGAATTGGGGGAAATTTTCTTTGTTGGCTTATTTTGTTGTTGTTTTATGCAAGTGATTTTGAGTTGAATATAGCTGACATTTAATAATATACTAGTTTCAGTTCTACAACATAATGATTTAATATATGTATATATTGTGAAATGATTACCATAATCCATTTAGTTAACAGCCATAGCCACAAATAGTTACAAAAAAATGTTTGTGCCTGTGATAAGAATGTTTAAGATCTATTCTCTTGGCTACTCTCAAATATGAAATACACCATTGTTAACTATAGTCATTATGCTGTACATTACATCCCCAGGACTGATGTATCTTTCTTTTTTTTTTTTCTATTTTTTTGTGGGCGCCAGGACCAATGATCACCAGCTGCCCAAGTACCAAAAAAGTATGCGTCGGAAATCTCTTGCTGTTGATTCCGCACTCAGAGCAATCAAGCTGCCCTATGTGTGCCGCTCACCACAGAGCCCTTTTCGGGACTGATGTTTCTTATAACTGGATGCTTGTGCTTTTTGACACCCTTCATTCTTTTCATCCACCCCCACTCCCCACCTCTGGCAACCACCAATCAGTTCTCTGTATCTAAGAGTTTGGATTTTTTTTTTTTTTTTCAGATTCCACATGTAAGTCATATCATACAGTATTTATCTTTTTCTGTCTGACTTATTTCACTAAGCATAATACCCTCAAGGTCCATCCATGTTGTTGCAAGCGGCAGGATCTCCTTCTTTTTTATGGCTGAATAACATCCCATTGTCTATTCATGCCACATTCTCTTCATCCACATATCCATTGGCAGACACGGGTTGTTTCCATGCCTTGGTTACTGTAAATAAGGCTGCCGTGGACATGGGCGTGCAGATGTCTGAGTTAGTGATACGTTTCCTTCAGATAAACACCTGAAGAGAAGTTGCTGGTTCATATGATAGTTATATTTTAGTTTTTTTTGTTTGTTTGTTTTTATAAACCTCCATACTGTTTTTGATAATGGCTGCACCAATTTACGATCCCACCAACAGTCTACAAGGGTCATCATTCTCCACATCTTCACTAACAGTTGTTATTTCTTATCTTTTTTTTTTTTTTATCCTCACCCGAGGACATTTTTCCATTTTTTGTTCAGGTAGAGTGGGAGGGAGAGAGAGGAACAGAGAGAGAGAGAGAAACATCGATGTGAAAGGAACACATCGAGTGGCTGCCACCCGCACAACCGACCAGGGCCGGGGACAAACTGCAACCGAGGTACATGCCCTTAGCGGGAACCGAACCCGGGTCTCTCAGGACCGCAGGCCGACGCTCTAACCGCTGAGCCAAACCGGCCAGGGCTATTTCTTATCTTTTTGATAGCCATTCAAAGAGGTATGAATGATATCTCAAGTGAGTTACTTAGAGAGCATCATATGGAAATTAGCTGTTTGGCATATATTGTAATCAGTCTTCAAATAATTGCCTGCCTGTCTGTTGATCTAGGGGCTTTTATTCTCTTTACACCCACCCCCAAGCCCCACCCATGACCAGGCTCTGAACACGTTCATGAGCATCTCTGCCAGAAAACAATGCAAGCAGTCTACCTAAGTCCAGGTAATAAAAATTATATGGGGTTGGAAGTCAAAACTATTGTCCAAAAATATCATGCTCTGATGTTTCTCTGTGGATTTCCATGTACCTGGAGCTCTAACCCACTGAGCTGGATAATTGAGTCTTATGGTTACATACATATTTGCAGAGGTTAGAGTGGTTTCTCAGTAAATCTAATAGAATTCATATTATTAAATCCTTACTATATTGAATATAACAACTTTATAGTTTTTTACTTTAAGAGAATACAGGTATTATTTTAATGTGTTTCCAGTTTAGTTTGTTGTTTAAGCAAAATCAATAAATTGATTTTATCATTTTGGTATTGGGTTGAATTTTTATTTGCCCAGGAAACATCTATTCAGTGATGTGTATTAGTATTAAAACAGTAGAAGAGCCCGGCCGGTGTGGCTCAGTGGTTGAGCATCAACCCACACACCAAGAGGTCACCAGTTCCATTCCCGGTCAGGACACATGCCCAGGATGTAGGCAAAACGCCCAGTGGGGGCCATGGAGGAAGTGGCCAATCGATATTCTCTCTCATCAATGTTTCTATCTCTCTCTCTGTCTCCCTTCCTCTCTCTCTAAAAATCAATGAAGAAAAAAAATTTTTTTTAAACAGTAGAAGAGTCCTGGCCGGTGTGGCTCAGTGGTTGAGCATTATTCCATGCACTAAAAGGTCACCAGTTAGATTCCTGGTCAGGGCACATGCCCCTGTTGCAGGCTCAATCCCCAGTAGAGGGCATGCAGGAGGCAGCCGATTGATGCTTCTCTTTTATATCAAAGTTTCTCTCTCTCTCCCCCTCTTCCTTCCTCTCTCTCCAAAATCAATCTTAAAAATATATAAAAATTAAAATAAAAAACAGTAGAAGAACTAAAGTAAAAATATATAAATACTTGTCCTTTACACATTGGTTTTAAGTAACAGAAAATGCTAACTTCTGCAACTAGAATGCAGAGAAATGCAGAAAAGAAGGAACAAAAAGAGGTGAGTGTGAGCTGAGACCACTTGAGGACATTTGGGCACCTTTACCTTCCATGCTAGAGAGATGATGGGAGTGAAAAAGTTGACCTGTCTTTGAAAAACAGAAAACCATGTAAATAGAGGAGGCACCTTTTATATCTGTGTCAGAGTTCATTTTGGAATTTTTTTTCCTCTGATAATCATTTAAAAGGAGATCGAAGTTGAAACTGTAAGTAAATAATGAAATTAAATTGATAGTTTGTTTTCCAAATTACCAAAAATTGAAATACACAGTTACAAAAAGAAAAGAGATAAAATATACAGTGGGATTATTTGACTCTCCAGACCCCCATTTCTGCAAAAAGCTCTCCAAATATTCATAAATCTAACTAACTTCCTAGCAGGACATCTCCCAAACAAAGTGTGGCTGAACACTTTCAGAAAGCTGAAATACATAAAAAACAGGCTTTAAGCATATACTTTGTCTGGAATTTATTAGGAAGCAAAAATGCCACCAAAATGGAAATTGCACACAGGAAAAAAAAATCCAACCATGCTTTTATCCAGATAGGTTGAAAGTGATGTAATAAAGGCATTGTAATTTATGTACATAAATGCGTGGGCGATTCGTCCGGGGAGTGACAAATGCTGAATCCCGGTGGGAAAAAACAGTGGACATCAAAGAAATCTGACCAGCTGCCAACAACCATTCATCTCTCCGTGACCTTTTTAATATATAGATGCCAAATACGGCTTGTCATTTTACTTCATCCTCAAAGCAATACATTCTTATTTATGAAGTTATGAGAGACTATAACATTATACTTCATTTGACATACATCCGCAGAGTGTACAACAACCTTGAGATTTCATTCTTAAAAATGAGACATTGACAAATCAACAGCCATACGCGTCAAGGATAATGGTTTAAGTCTGACCATGGTCCTGAACTTAACGTGACTGTGATCTTCATTCATCTTGCCATGGTCAGCAGACCACATCACAGAGACCAGCTTGCTCACCAGGAGAGACTTCAAATAAAGATAGCATTGACTTGCTTCAGATGTGGAGGCATGAGAAAACCCTCCCGAGGGAAGATAGAATACATTAAATATCACACTAAAAGAAACCATTTGTGTCGTCTAGAAAACCTTGGAGCCTTTGGCTGTGGGTACCACAGAATCACAGCGTCTCATGTGCTAACAGTGGTCAATGATCAACCTTTTCAGTGATGAAGCTTTTACCAGGGCCACTGAACACTCTTCCTGTGTATAGTCTGACAAGTTTTCAGGGAGAGCATCTCTTCAAGGTATTTTCTTCTTTGGGTTCGTATAATTCTACCTCTTAAACGTCTTGGCGATGAAACACGTGTTCTTTATTACTTCTTCTGAAATGAATCACCAGTATTTACCACCTTGAAACATGGCTTCAACAGAGTCTCGATCCAAATGTTTCTACTGATCTGGACATAAAATGAAGAAGGCCTCATAAATAATCATTTAAAATTCACTCGAGCAGTGGTCATACTATATTATTGTCCCTCTTATTGCAACCTCAGTAAATACTTAGACCGAGGAGTGTGTGAGACAGAAAACAGAAAGACAAGGGCCATAGATCATCAGTCAAATCAAAATTGTGCCCCCTGGGGGGAGTTCCATGTAATTCTTTGACCACGTTCTCTAGATGTCAACTTATAAATGCTAATAAAAGAACAAAAATTATTTTGAAGAGTTTGGAACACAACGAGGAGATATGACTGCCCAGCTCCTGGCAGAGGGCCCATCACAAAGTAGAGGTTCGCTTATACTGGATGAACTGACTGGTCATTGTCACCATGACCATCATCTCCTTCATCTAGTGACCCCTCTGCTCTCAGTTCCTGTCAGCTGATCATAGAAAAGTTTTTCCTCATCGGGGACTTCACGGGTCAAGCAGAGCAGGGTTTTATGTGCTCACACAGGCCTGCTGGCCTTGACAGATGAATGGCCCCATCTTCTTCAAAATAGCCCAAACATGACGGTACTTCATACCTTGCAAGAAAGTGATGAAGATAATTAATGGGCCCTCTTCTCCACTTGTTTTTCTAATTTGAAGAACAGACCCAAGTCAGGAAATGTAACCTGATCTCAAGCCTCCTAAACATGCTAAGATTGGGTCTGTAGAGAAAGACAAGGCGTTAGAGCTCATGGTCATCCTTCCAGGTTCGCCTCGAACATTGACCGGGCCCCAGCTAGGTCTGCACTTTCCAGGAGACTAAGGGAAAATGAAGCTAACAAAGCAGCCTCGTTTACTGACTGCTCAGGACGCTGCTTGCCCTCTTCCTTTTGGTGAAAGGCTATTTCTGACATTCCTGCAACCAGGGTCACCACTGTGGAAGTAGGGGTCCTAACTGCACTGAGAGGAACCAGCTGGGGCTGTACATTCACAAGACGGGCGGGAACAGGAGCGGAAGGCAGAGACCCAGAATGTACCAAAAGAGGGTGAATCATGCCCTGGGGCCGAAAATGGGGGTACAGAGGGAATGATGGTCTCTCTCACCGAGCACAGACTCTGACAGAACTGGAAGGTTCCAGCTGTCCGGGAACACTGGATGGGTCTCATATGGGAGGGGAACAATTTAAATGGAACAAATTTTAACAGGTTTTGGCAGCCTGTGTCCAAAGTGCAGATTCGAAAGTTACACTCCAAGTCTTAGTGTCCCCGGACCCACAAAACCCCCACCCAGCTCCGCCCCTCTGGCCCTGCCTCTGATCAGCTTTGAGAGAGCCAGATGCCCTCGCTGACCCTCACAGGGCCAAGCCATGTTTTGTTGCCACTCGGTGGATTTCAGTTCCATTTTTAAATGACATACTGGTGGGAACTACGTTCATGCTCACCACCCAGAACTGACTGAGTCGTAATTTCTTAAGATCCCAGGCTCACCAACCCCAGAA